TCGTGGGGTCCTCTTGGGCCGTCTCGGGGGCCTCTTGGGCTGTTTTGGGGACATCTTTGGGCCGTCTTGGGGCCCTCTGGGACCGTCTTGACGTCCTCTCGGGCGTTTCTTGAGCCGTCATGGGGCGATTTCGGAGGCTGCTTGGGCCGTCAGGAGTCGCAGAAAGCGAGAACGCGCAAATCCTTCAAAACCCTTAGGAAAATCAATGATTTGGGCTTGCGGAGGCACTATTGGGGCTCCTCTCAGGGCCATCTTGAGCTGTTTGTGCCCTCTTGGGGCCATCTTGGGCCGTCTCGGGGCCGTCGTGGGCCGTCTGGAGCCCATCGTGAGCCATTTTGAGGCCCTCTTGGGCCCCTGGGAGGGCCACGTGGCCCAAATCATAGATTTTCCATCGGTTTGGGGATTTTTGAAGCCCAGAAGGGGTCCACCATGTTTGGGTCGGTGGATGTGGCGTGGCCCCAATCATCGGATACATTGGATACGTTGCATTAAGGCGGTTGCCGGAAAACGCTGCCGCTCAGCACGTCACCTCCGGACGTGGATTCCTCTCGCTTCGTGGTGTGCACGTCCGGAGCACGGACAGCCCAGTTGTCGGGCCTCTGGGAGCTTCTTGGGGGCCCCTTGGAGGCCTTTTTGGGGCCTCTTAGGTCCTCGCGGGGGCGTCCGCGAGGCCTCTTGGGGGCCTCTCGGAGCTCCGTGTGGGCGTCTTGGGGGCGCTCTTGCGCTGTCTGGTCCCTTCGGAGACTGCCTTGGGGTCTCTAGGGCCGTCTTGGGGCACCTCGGCGGCCTCTTTGGGCTGTCTGTGGGCCCTCTTGGGCCGTTTTGGGGCCTTTTTGAGGGCTTCTTGGGCCGTCTTCGGGCCACTTAGGAGGCTGTTTCGGCTGTCCTGGACCTCTGAGAGTCGAAATAGACGGGGTCGCTGAAATCTCCAAATCAAACATGGAAAAATCAATGGTTTTTGGCTTCTGGAGGTGCTCTTGGGGGTCCTGTGGGGGCCCTCTTGGGGCCATCTTGGGTCGTCTTGGGGCCGTCTCGGGCCGTCTTGGGGCCATCTCGAGCCGTCTTGACGTCGCTTTGGACCCCCAAGAGGCCCGAGGGGCCCAAATCCGTAGCCATTTTGGCTCAAGCCATTTTGGCTCAAGGGGCTTTCTTGCTCAAGGAGTTCACTTTGACCCAAGTTGCCTTCTTCAGTCGTTCCCGCGTGGCCAGTCTGAGGACCTCCTTGCCAATTCCGCTGCAATGGCAAATGTGATGTATGTTGGCCGCATCTACCAGAACCCGATGAACCCCAAGGAGATCTGGGCCAACATTGGTTGGAATGCGCGGGGCAACAACCATCTGTTCCCGCCGTGGGAACCCGCACTTGGGGCAGACGTGCCTGAGGGCGACTACAATAAGATCATGGACACCCTCCAGTCCGAGTTAGCAAACCGCCCCACCCCGAATGTTTCCTTAGAAATCTGCACCATGACGCTCTGCTTCCTCACGCTGGGAATCCTCTCCTGTCCTCATTGCTACCTGAAGATGAAGATCCGCAAGTTCAACGCGAAGCTGAAGGAGCTTCCCGGCAGTCTGGGATTGACTGGGGTTCGCATTGAGTTGGCCTAGTTGGTGGGCTTCGAGGAGAATTGGGTGGATTCGAAAGGGCAGCCTTTGATGCCTGGATTTCACCCTCGGGGGCCACCTCGGGGCTACAACGTCATTTTACCTTGCCCGCAAGTCTGTCATGGCCGCCCAATGGCGCGCCAGGACAACACATGATGGCGGCCCCAACGACCGCCGTTGTCATTGGGGCTCAAGACGTCGCCCAGAAGATCATGTCGCTCAAGCAGTTGCTCGATGCAGGTGCGCTCACTCAGGAAGAGTTCGACGCGGCAGCTCATGGATCAGATGTGAGCGTGGTGACATCTCTGGGGCCTCAGCCGGATACCAGTGTGAAGCCGCCAGCGCCTTAGAGTGAGGCCTCAACCGCACTTTTTTTTTTTCCCAACCATAATGTGATTTGGGTCCTCGTTGCCCCCATCCCTCCTCCCATCCCTGCTTCTGTTTTCCGCATGTCACTTATTATTCCCTCCCTCCGCCTCTCCTCCACAATGCCCGTGTAGGGCGCGGCGCGCGAGCAGAGTATGTCTTGATCCGTCCGTCGCCACTTACTGTGGGGTTGCATGAGAGAAGGGAGGGAGGCACGGGTTCCTTCCTTCGGTTCGACGCGTCCCGTCCGCTCTGATGCGGGGGCCCATTCGTGCTGCGCTGACCTTGCCTCACTTGGTGCCCGTGCAGATCACCGCTTTTTAGTTCAGCCGGCCTGTCTGACTGTTCTTTACAGTTTCTGCGAGTTGCAGCGCCACTCTTTCGCGACAGCCGCCAGGTTCATCGCGCGCGCGCAATCCAACAATCTGCTGTCCTCAAGATTTCGGCTCCGCCCACCCTCCTCTCGATGGGGGCGTTCCGCACGTGGACTCTGTGGGCCTGGAGGGCCACCTGGAATGCCAGGTCAGGTGCCGATTTTTTGGAGGCCCATTTCGGGCTCGTGCTGAGCCCGCGCGGGGACGTCCGAACATAACTTTGGGGCTTGCGGCCCCACGCTCGCTCTCGTCTGGAAAGAGAAAAAAAAAAGGCCCGAGGGGCCCAAATCATTGATTTCCCATAAGTTTTTTTTGTAGGTTTTGAGGCCCAGGAGGGGTCCACCATCGTTGGGTCGGTGGATGTGGCTGTGCCTCGGGAGGGTGCTAGTGGGGAGACAGAATAATGTAACACAACGCAACATGTAGCAATTATGAAATCATTTGATATATAGGATTAGTTTCATTATCGCCTCCGCAGACCTGCCTCCGGCAACACGCCACTTCCGGACGTGGATTGGGCAGGCTTGCGCCGCATCCGCCGACCCCTCAGTGTATCCGAGGAAAGCGCCCTGGGCGCCCAAGTACTGTTCGCAGGTGGTAGCGCTTACAAGGAAGCGTGACCAGGAGGAGGGGGGGCTGCCCTCGGGGGGCTGGGTGGGGCTGGTGTTGCGCCGTCATGGGGCCATCGTGGGTGGTCTTGAACCCGTCGCAGGGTCCTCTTGGGCCGTCTTGGGCGTTTCTTGGGCCGTCCCGGAGCCGGCTCGAGCAGTCGGGTCGCTCATCGGGGATTCTGCGCAATTTCGCGACAAATGTTAGCCTGCCATCGGGAATGGGCAAACTTGGACTTGTTGGGGCCTTCCTTCGAGGTCCTCAGGAAGCCATCTTGGAGCCTCTGCGGAGTCTCAGGGGGCCTCCCTGGGCCGTCCGAGGCGCCCTGCGGGCCGCAGTGGGGTCATCTTGGGCTGGGTGGGGCCCGTGTTGGGCCGTCATCAGCACCAACCACAGCATTTTGCTTCTGCCGGTACTTCGCCACCGGGTTCCTGGACAAGGCGCGCTTTTGCAAGAACGTCGACTTCGGCACCGCCTGATCCCTTGGCTTTGCCTGCCCGGCCTCGCTCTGAGGCTGCGCCCTCCCCCTGTCCTCCCCCTCATTTTAATTCAAGCTTCGGGCGGCCCGCTTAGCTTCGACCGGAAGAGGTGCGTTCTCGACCCGCGAATCAAAAAAGTTGGGCCGTCATCGGGCCATCCATCTTGGGCGGTCTTGTGCCCGTCCCGACGTTGCTCTTGGGCTGCCTTTGGCGCCTCTTGGGCCGCCCGGGGGCTGCCCGGGGCCGTCGTGGGGCCCTGCTGGAGACATCGCGGCCCGTGTCGGGTCGCTGTGGCAGGGCGCCAGAGCGAGTTTGCAAACCATGCCAGTTTTCGTGTTTTGGCTTGGCGGGGCCAAGTTTGGCTTGTCGGGGCCCTCGCGGGGGTCATGTGGGACCCCTCGGGTGGCGTCCTGGAGGCTCCGAGGATTGTCTTCAAGCCATGTCTGGACCACTGGGTGCCATCGGGGATCGTCGAAGAGCCCCTGAGAGTCATGCCGAAGCCATGCAGGCCGTCCAGGACCATCTCTGAGGCTGCCGGGCCCGCCGGCACATTTTGCATACCCCCCCTCCAAAGCGTCCGGACGGGCTCCTCCGTGGAGAGGTTTGGCGAGGGGTGACAGTCTCACATCGCGTAGACCCCAAGGGGTCGGTGGATTTTCGGCAGCCGAGTGCGCAACCTGTGGCGCAAGAGGTCGCCATCCGCTTGCCTTAGTCACGGCTTCCGAGTGCGCAATCTACGGCTCAACCAATGGATGCGCAACCACGGCTTCCGAGTGCGCAACCCACGGCGGAAACCTGGGAGGGCGCGAGCAGTGCCGCAACCCATGGGTGGCGCAACCCATGAATGGATCGCGTACCCCACGGATGGCGCAACCTGGCAGAGCCCACGGATCGCGCCACCCATGGCGCAAGTCACGGATGGCGCCTCCCGTGGGCGGCGCAGCCCATGGAGCAGTTTGCGGCTGCTGCACCCCCGGGCAGTCTCCGCGGGGCTGCGCCCGAGTTGTGCTCGCCGTTTGGGCTGGCGGTGGGCGTTGGTCTTCGCGGGGACGACCCAAGGAGCGGCAGCGTCATCGACCAGCAGGGTTGAGGCGTCTGCACGCCTACTTAAGGCTCCTCCCTCCCGTCCCTCCCCTCCCTGGAAACCGAGAAAGGGCCACCAGCGCCCACGAACTTGTGCCCTCGGCCCCGTGAGGGTGGAGGAGGGAGGGGGGATCGTGTGACAAGGAGCAGGGGCAGGAGTTGGAGGCGGAGGAGGAGGAGGAGTGGGAGGAGGAGAAGCAGGAGGAGTAGGAGGAGGAGGAGGAAAAGGAGGAGGAGGAGGAGGAGGAGGAGGAGGAGGAGGAGGAGGAGGAGGAGGAGGGGGGGGAATATTGGAGAATTGGCTGGGCAGGAAGGGGGGGGAGGAGGATGAGGAGGAGGAGGAGGAGGAGGAGGAGCAGGAGGAGGAGGAGGAGGAGGAGGAGCAGGAGCAGGAGGAGGAGGAGGAGGAGCAGGAGCAGGAGGAGGAGGAGATGCACATGGAGGAGTGGAGGGCTGGTGGCGGCGTGTCCGCCGCGTGCGCGAGGACCGGCTGAAGGCCGTGCTCACCCGGTCGTTCATGTTCTCGGCTCTGGAGCCCAACGACCTGAACATCGTCGTGGGGGCGATGAAGGAGGCCCGAGCGCTTGCTGGGCCCGCCGCCCCCGGGGGATGGAGGGCGGCGGAGTGAGTCAGGGGCAACGTCAGGGGGTCGGTGCAATATCGCTCACGTTTATCATTGCCCCAATCCCCTCTCTAACGTCTCATGTGCACTGGTTGCCCGTGCCTGCTCCCGTTCGCTCCCTCTCACCCGCTGCCTCCGCTGCCATCTGGGCTTCGGAGGGCCCTTGAGCTGTTTGGCGACAGCGCCCGCTTGTGTGCATCCGAGCGAGAAAGGTTTCGAGGCTCGCAGAGCCCACACTCCAGAGATCCCAAAGGTCCTGTGCATCGGACCACGCTCCGAGAAACTCTTGCTTCGAGTTGATATTATTGAATTGGTAGCGCAGAGCAACTTTCCTACGGACAAGTGCCGCCATGTCGAGGAGGAACACGCCTCCTAACACGCCACCAGCTGGTGGCCGCGCTGCTGCAGATGAGGGCAATGACGACGATGATGAAGAGTTCTCGGCCAAAGGAGGCAAGCGAGGAAAAGGACGTCATCCACACGACGATCTTCGCTCCAGACCTCGTGGTATCCTACCGCCGCCTCCGGAGTTCGACGGCAACATGGAGGATCCCAAGATTTTCAGACGCTACAAGGCGCAGGTCGAGAACTGGGTTTTGATTGCGAAGAACATCATCGGCCCTGAGGAGATGGCACCAAGATTGTATGCAGCGCTTAGAGACAAAGCTTTCGACCACGTAGAGGACGAGAGCCCGACAGTTTTTGCAGTTCCAAACGGTGTGGAGCTCTTACTCGACAGGTTGGCCTATTTCGATCAACGCCCGACGGTCAAGATAGTCGCCGCAATGGACGATTTCTTTCACATGGAGCACGTTAAGCCAGGCGAGACTTTACTCCAGCTCGCCACTCGAGTGGACAAGGCAGTGCTCCAGGCTAAATCGGTAGATTTGGCCATCCCAGATCCAATCATCATTAGGCAGTTCATGAAGAGTTCGCAGCTGGACCACAAGACACAGGCCACGTTATTGACGGCAGCAGGTTCGAAGTTCGAGTGGAAGCCTCTGAAGGAGCAAGCGGCTATTTTATTTCCCATGCCGCTGGTGCCGCGCAACAGGTTTCAAGGAGATCGCAAGTACAGACCTCAGTATAGTGCTCACGTTGCGAACCAGGATACGTACGAGAGGGAGGTCAGAGCCCGACTGCCAGCACGATCATGAGGATTGGCAGGTGACCGACGCAGATTTTGGACACGATGACTCGTACGACAACAGCTGGGAGGAAGATTCCGGCGACTTCTGGGACGAGCAGCTGCCCGAGGCGTTGGCCAGAGAGATCCACACTGCTCACGTTACGTTCAAGCAGGCTCATGATAGTCTCAATCAGGCCAACAGAGCACGAGGTTACTACAACACGAAGGGCAGCAAGGGCAAAGGTAAGCACGGCAAGGGCTACCAGCCGAACCGTTCCGGCAAGGGCAAAGGGCAATGACGGAGGCAAGGCGCGACGTGGCATGTCGTTGGAGGACCTCGAGAATGTGACGAACTGCTCGGCTTGTGGCGAGATCGGCCATTGGGCAGGTGACCGCCAGTGCCGAGCGCCATCCTCCAAGATAACATCAACAGGTACGACGGCTACACGGGGTGCGAACGAAGCATCACAGTCTTCCGACGCCTGGTGGCCATTTGCCCATCAGCAGCCTGTCCGACACGAACGCGATCGAGATGGACGAACGACTTCAGGCGCATCTTCGGCTTCGACGAGACACGGTTACAGTGCGAACAGATTACCAACAGTTTGTGAATCTGAGTATGCACATCAGGTCCTAGCGGCGACCAACAATATCCACGAGACACTCGGTGCGACGCCGCCTCAGGTTGCCGGTTCACGACGTCAGGGTGCTGTCCGAGAATGCGGACTTCACGAGACAAGTACACAACATCAAGAGCCCGATCACGCACGACATATCATGATGACGTACGGCAACGGTGGCCAGAGGACGAGGTTCAATACGAAGAGCTTCCGCAAGGAGCGCTCGATCTACATGATGACGATGGTGAAGGACGTTTTCAGCACGGTGAACATCGACAGCGACGCCAACCTTCTGGTGCTCGACACTGCGTGCCAGACGACGGTCGCTGGACTACGAGGGCTTCGACTATTTCAAGAACGTCATCTAGACCGACGGGGTCTACAGGTATGCCCTCAACCCGAACGTGAACAGTATCGCTTCGGTCCTGGCGAGCCGATGACGAGTACAGAACGTTGGTCAATACCAGTCGGAGTTCACGGACGTGCGATGGTTTTGCACACTTCAACGATTGATGACGTGGCGACGGCTCGTTTACCTTTCCTGGGCGGAAGAGACTTGATGACAGATCTTGGTAGTGTGATCGACCTCGCTGGTTCTCGAGTCCATTTTCTGGCCGCTCAGCTTCCGAACGTACAGCTTGCGATGTCTAAGAGTGGACATCTCGCAGTTCGGATCGACGACTGGCCAGTTACAGGTTTTCCAGTCGACGCAGGCTTTGAGATTGATACATATACAGTTTCGGTGTGCGAGCGCAGCCTGCAAGAGTCGAATCACATCTCATTATCTCTCTGCGATCGTCGGTCAGCTCACGTCACCGACCGAGACAACCGAGACCAGCACGAAGTACATCATTCCGATCGAGCCGACCGAGAACACCACGACGTACCTTATTCCGACCGGGTCGAACGACAGCACCGATAACTACGACACCGCAAGCCCGAACCCGATCGAGCAGTACTTCAGCTACGTCGAAATGTCCCCGATTCGATCGACAAGTTCTACGAGTATTTCCGAGACCACGATTGGGGCCCGGGCCCGGGGCGATCTACGAGAATACGTCAGGAGAATGACCATGGGGAACGAAACAGTGACACGGAGATCCATCGACATGTTCCGTTCTCAGCCGAAGCAAACTACACGAGCGATACCAGAGCCATTTCGGCGCCAAGTCATTCTATGACGACAGCCTCAAACGATCTCCATTCTCCATATCCAGAGACCGTGTGTGCCACAGACTCCCGAGGTCACCGCCGAAGACCTGCGGGCACGATGGGCGATTCTCATTCAGGCAGTGTTTGTGGTCATCAGAGTTTTCGACAGGAATCAAAGGTACAAAGTGATCGACAGCTTTCTCAGCAGACAGTTTCCAGCGATGCAGATTCTGTGTCAGGACAGGACCGTGGACAGCTTCATTCCCGATACCAGGACAGGATCACGGACGAGGATGTCATGCTACCCAGATCTGAACAAGACGCGCTGCCATCCTACCAACGGGGAGCACGAGTACACAGTTCCAGCCGGGAGGTTCAAGGAGTGCCTCTATTGTGGGACGGTCTGGAAGGGCGAGAAGTACCAGATCAGGACGACGGATGTGATCTTTTGGAATCTCCACGGGGCGCGAGAGACTCCAGGCGCAAATATCGATCGCATCAATCCATCGGTAAGCAGTTCATGCGCGCCGCCTTCCTCGTCGGCTCAGCGCTTACCTCCATCAGCACGGCCTGGGCGCCCACATGCGACACGAAGATCATCGAGTCTACGAAGGAGGAGATCACCGAGCGCGGAGGCGATGGACGAGGAGCAGGACTCGAGCTGGGAGCGACCACCTCAGGCGGAAGCCAATTCACGACAGGTCAGGCGAAGAGGTACTACGGCATGGCCAAGTCCGCCTACAACAACTTGCAGCTCGAGAAGCGCGTCTACGAGAGACGAATGCAGAAGAGCCGTTTTCCACGACGCCAGCGACGCGGCTTCGACATCTACGAGATCTTCGCGGGCGAGTGCGGCATCGCCCTGCATGCCACCGACCGCGCCAACGGCTGGGGCATGCGAGCTCTGCAACCGGTGGACAAGCTGTTCGGTCAGGACTTGAAGAAGCAGAAGGCCAGGAAGGAAGTGCTCGATACGATCGACAGGTGGCGGCCGCGCTTGGTCATCATCCAGCTTCCGTGTACGCTCTGGTCGCTGCTCAACCGCAACGTCAACTACAAGGACATGCCCGAGGTGCTGGAGGACCCACGCGATGAGGAGCGGTGCTTCATCACCTTCACGAAGGACATCTTCGACAAGCAGAAGGACTACGGCAACCGCGCCCTGCTTGAGAATCCCGCTACTGCCGACTCGTGGCGCGAGGAGGCAATCGTCAAGCTCAGGCAGAACAACTACGAGTGCACCTCTAATATGTGCATGTTCGGCATGGTCGGCAACCAGGAACTCCCCATGAAGAAGTTGGCTCGTTGGTTGGGTACGCAACCACTTCTCATTCAAGAGCTCGACCGACACTGCGACCACAGCCATCCACATGAAGAAGTGCAAGGAGGTGGACCAAATGGCAACACCAAGCTCTCACAGGTCTACACCTGGCAGCTAGCAGACGCCATCTGCCGAGGTCTCACCAGGGTCATCGAGAGCGAGGAGTTCGGACACGGCATCTACCTATGCAGTTATCACCCCGTCTCCTACGACGCTCCAGCCCCTACTGCGCACCACGTCTGCTATTCGGCTCCCGACATGGACGAAACAAAGTGGGAGAACATCATGCAATCGGTCGTCGATGTCATGAGTCGAAGGAACGCCCCCTCAGCTCAGGTGGCGCAGGACTCAGAGATGTGGAGGCAGGTGTCCGAGTTGGTTCCCTGGCAGATCTTGTACATGCAGGCCGCCTTCCAGCCGAAGGCGAAGCGTCTTAAACCTGAGTGTGGTCCAGACGTTCCTAGATGTTCCGTTCTTCTACTCGAAGATAATCGCATCATCGTCGAGCATGAGTACGTCCCAGAGGCCTACGCACCACGAGAACGATTCCAAGACCCAGTACGATACGATTTGTTCATTATCGGACGTGCTCCAGTTGGCGAAGTACCAGCACCACCTCGACCACCAGTCGAAGGCGAATCACGACAGCCAGTTCCAGTACCGGACGAACCGCAGCCAGACGAACTTCAGCTTCAGCCTGTTCAACAACGTGCTGGCGACGAGATTTGGTTCGCTGGGCCCCCGCTCACGCCGGAGGAGAAGCGCGCCGCCCCCATCGTTGCTAGGATGCACCAGAACTTGAGCCACCCGCTGCAGGCTGATTTCACGAGGTTCCTGAACGCGAGCGAAGCGAGCCAGGTTGCGATCGATCTCAGCCGACGTCTGCGCTGCAGTTCATGTTTACGAAATGTCAAGCCACGGCGCCCACGACCCGCCAAGATTCCATATATGGGTTCGTTCAATGCTCGAGTTGGTTTGGATTTTACCTACCTGATTCTGCTCTTACGACACATCAGTTCTTGGGAATTTTGGTGATGTCAGGTTTACTGATGGTGGTGGTTCATTGTCCGACTCGTGATCCTACTCAGGTGCTGGAGATATTCAATTTGGCTTGGTTATCTTGGGCTGGTTATCCAGATCATGTGGCGCGCGATCGTGATGGAGCTTTTCAGGCCGCTTTCGTTGAACATCTTGAGGCTCGCGACGTTCACGTCGAGAAGCCCCCAGCTGAAGCTCGCTGGCAGTCAGGACGAGTCGAGGCTAACATCACACTCTGGAAGCACATGGCCAAGAAGGTGATTGATACGATGCAGCTTGCCGGAGTTGAGGACATGAAGCTGATGGCGCCTGCGATCAACCAGTCTCGCAATTCTCGTGTTCGACAATGCGGTGCTTCACCATATCAGTGGACTTTCGGTGAGGACCCGAGGATTCCCGACAGCATCACCGACCCAGCTAACTCTGCCGTCGTACACAGCGCCATGACCGCAGATGCCGAGCTTGCTAAACGAGCCCGAGTACGAGCACTCGCAGACATGGCCTTCACCGAGTACGACAGGTCCGAGTCTCTCAAGCGCGCGATGCTTCGAGTTAACCGACCTTACCGAGGAGACTACGCACCGGGAGATCGAGTGGCTTTCTGGCGTCAGGCGAAGAACAAGAAGGGCAAGCAATACCCAGCAAGGTTCATTGTGGCTACTGTGGTTGGTCCTGGTGGTAGTGGCGGCGCCGATGACAACAGTTTTTGGGTAGAACGTGCGGCACCACCTGCCGAGATCGTCCCGAACGATGTGATCGTGTCTGATCTAGCCGCCGCTCTACGAGATGAAGGAGGACGTGAACACGTTCGAGGACTTCTACCACCTCCTGCTCAGCCACCGGCTGAACCACTACAGCTAACCGAGGCCTGCGGCTCCGGGGACAACGTGACGGACAACATATTGCCAGCTGTTCGGCCACTACCTGAAGACGCTGTAGGAGATGCTCGAGCTGCCCGCCGACCTCGCTTTGCAGAGCCAGAGACGCCAACTACACCGCCTACTTCACGGGCACCAGGTGCGACCTACGTTTGCTTCAACGGCACTGAGCAGAACTCTGCCATCCCGATCTACATGTGCGAGCAGCATACTCTCCTCGAGTCGCCAGCTTACGAGGTCTACCTCAACAACAACGGCAGCTTCACTATGACCAAGAAGGACCAGAAGGCGCTCATTCGTGAGATCCCCTACTCGCAGATCCCTGCAGATCAGCTACCTCTATTCCGAGAAGCTTCGGCCCGTGAGTGGTCATCTTGGCAGCGTTTTTCAGCCGTGGAGGTCTTGGATCTGAAGACGCCCAGGTCCATCGAGAGCGACCCCGAGAAGAAGAAGCGCATTATACCATCAAGAGTCTGCTACCGCGACAAGAATGCCGGACGTGGAGTTTCCGAGATCGACGCCAAGGCGAGAATTGTGGGTATCGGCTACAACGACCCCGACATCGTGACTCTCAGACGTGACGCACCAACCCTTACGAGAGCTGGTTTCTACATCTTGCCGCAGACGATCTCGAGCTGGGACTTCAACTTGTTCGGAGGCGACGTTGCTACAGCCTTCCTACAAGCCGACCAGACCAAGGCCCAGCGCGACAAGCCGATTTACCTTCGACAACCTTCTGAAGGACTTCCAGGTGTTCAACGCGGTGCTCTTCTACTTGTACGACGTGCCATCTATGGCTTCGTTAATAGCCCTCGCCTGTGGTGGCGAGAATTTCGTGATTTTCTTGCGCACATCGGTGGCAAGCGGTGCCTGCTGGACAAGGCTCTATTCTGTTTTTACAACAAGTCACGTCGCATTATCATGATTATTGGCATCCACGTGGACGACCTCATCGGAGGCGCAGATGCTCGAGAAGGCTCCGAGCTCTTGGAAACCATCCGCCAGAGGTTCACTTTCGGCAAATGGTGGGACAACAAGCTGACCTACTGTGGCAAGCATCTTAGTCAGAACAAGAACGGCACGATTGTCATCAACCAGAAGGAGTTCTGTAGTCAATGCGTGCCGGCGCCGCTGCCGCGATGGAGATCTGCGACGCCTGAGGCCGAGCTCACCGTCGAGGAGAGGACCAATTTCGCGAGTGGTGTAGGATCTTGTCAATGGTCGGTTGGTCAGACGAGGCCGGATCTAGCTGCTGCGACTTCTCTTGGACAAGGATCGAATCCGAAGATTTCCAATTTGATGGCTATCAATCGTATCCTACGCGAGGCACGAGATTCCCAAGATGTTGGACTATTTGTTGTGCCGCTGGATTTTACGACAAGCGTTCTCATTACATTTACTGATGCTGCATGGGCTAACGCTCAGGAGAATCAAAGTCAAGCCGGTTTCATGGTTTTCTTGTCAGATCAAGATAGTTTGACTTCCAAGGGTGGAGCGGCTACTCTCCTTGATTGGCGTTCGCATCGTATTCGTCGAGTAGTTCGAAGTACTTTGGCCGCCGAAGCAATGGCAATGGATGCTGGTGTGGACACAGCTTATTTCCTACGTCATTTGTTTGCCGAGGTTTTATTTCGAGACTTCAAGCCGGGAATTTCAGGTGAGCTCCCGAGTTTCTTCATGCCGATTAAGGTAGCAACGGACTGCAAGTCTTTGTATGATATTCTAACTAAAGAAGGGACCCCATCTACAACGCTGGAACGGCGTTTGAGTATAGACATTCCTGCGGTAACACATGTTGCCGAAGAATTTGATGGCGAGAATCCGAAGTCTACGGTGTTTTGGGTGCCGACCGATAAGCAAGTTGCGGATCATTTGACCAAGGTAAAACTTCCGAGTCAGTTACGATAGGTTCTGGCGAAGAATCAACTGAGTCTCCGGACGGATAGCGGATTACCCTCGTGAGTGAACGGTTTCTTTTTCTGTTTCATAAGGCTAGGTGACACGTCTGAGATGTCGCATTTCATTTCCATATTGACGTTTTCCGTGTTTCGCCGCCGCGCGACAGCCTGCCCGTACGTTTGCTGCGTAAGCTATCGTGTGAATCCGAGCTTCGGACGCAGTTTAATTCGTACGTCTGTTCGGGAGATTTTGGGCAACAGTAAAGATAGTGAGTGCAATATCGCTCACGTTTATCATTGCCCCAATCCCCTCTCTAACGTCTCATGTGCACTGGTTGCCTGTGCCTGCCCCCGTTCGCTCCCTCTCACCCGCTGCCTCCGCTGCCATCTGGGCTTCGGAGGGCCCTTGAGCTGTTTGGCGACAGCGCCCGCTTGTGTGCATCCGAGCGAGAAAGGTTTCGAGGCTCGCAGAGCCCACACTCCAGAGGTCCCAAAGGTCCTGTGCATCGGACCACGCTCCGAGAAACTCTTGTTTCGAGTTGATATTATTGAAGTCGGCTCAGGGGGGGGGGGGGGGAAAGGGGGGGAGGGCGATGCCGCCGCAGCTCCGTCGCTCGAGCGCTGAGGAAGGGGGATGGAGGAGCGGGAGGAGGAGGAGGAGGAGGAGACGAGGACGAGGCGACGAGGAGGAGGAGGAGGAGGAGGAGGCGACTCGAGGAGGAGGAGGAGGAGGAGGAGGAGGAGGAGGAGGAGGAGGAGGAAAAGGAGGAGGACGAGGAAAAGGCGGAAGAGGAGGACTTGAGGAGGAGGAGGAGAGGATGAGGAGGCGGAGGAGGAGAAGGGGCAGGAAAGGGAAGAGGAGGACAGGAGGAGGAGGAGGAGGAGGAGGAGGAGCAGGAGGGGCAGGAGTTGGAGGAGGGAGGAGCAGGAGGGTGAGGAATGAGGAAGATCGATGATGGATGCTCTTGGTAAAGTTTTGTTGGGGCGGCAGGGGTCTCCGCCAGATTTGTGTTGCAACTGTCTCGGGCGCGCCGCAGGTCGCGTCCAGCAATTTTTTAGAATTTGCGTGTTCGAGTTAGGGGATGATGGGGAGGGTGACTTGCAGGAGTAGGAGGACGGATGATTGGGCAGGAGGAATCCCAAGAGGAGGAGTTGTATAAGTAATTGGAAGAAGGGATGAGGGGGAGGGGGGGGGGGGAGGAGAGGGGGGGGGAGGAAGGGTGAGGGTGGAGGAACATGAGGAGGACCAAGAGGGAGGGGTGAGGAGGTTGATACGTATACAGTACCTATACGACCACCCTGCGGGTGATAAGGAGGTTGGGGGGGGGAGGGGCCGAGCAATCGGCAACAGTGGTGGTTGTTCCCCTGACGATGCCAGTGGAGATTTTTTCTCGGAGGCCTGCTGAGGCTCCTCTCCCTCCCTTTGTCGGGTTGCACATGGTGCAAATGCAATTGATGAGAACTGCTGCGACAGCGACGGCGGCGGCGTCCTGTCGGCGTATCCTTTTTTATGTAGACGGACCAATTCCAGGGGCCCAGACGCACCAGTTTTTCGATTCGCTTCCAGCCGCGGCGGCGAGCAGGGCCTCCGAGGGCCAGGAAACCTCGACTTAACCTCGGCGCCAATTTCAAAACGGGACCGGGACCCCTCCCAGGGGCCCGCGCCGGCGTCCTGTCGGCGTATCCCTTTTCATGTAGACGGCCCAACTCTAGGGGCCCAAACGCACCAGTTTTTCGATTCGCTTCCAGCCGCGGCGGCGAGCCCGCGCGGCCGCCCGAAGGAACGGGGCGCGCTCGGAGAGAGCGGCTGGCAAAGCCTAGCCTGTACTGGTGGGTGCGCGGGGCCTCGCCCGCACGCACGGCACGCACGAACACGAAACCGAAATCGATTTCCCGGTTGGGGGGCTCTCCGTTCCACTTCGATATCACCCCCCAACCTCCGATCACAATCGATCTCACAATCGACGTCGTCATCATCATTATTATCATCAACATCATCATCATCATCACCATCATCAGCATTGCCATCATCAACATCATCATCACCATCATCATCATCATCACCATCATCATCATAATCATCATCAACATCATCATCGGGACACCGACGGGACACCACCGGGACACCGGCGGGACACCGCGCGGCCCCGCGCCCCGGTGGAGAATCATTTGGTGCGGCCGCGCCCATCCACAGAGGACACCACCGGGACACCGGCGGGACACCGCGCGGCCCCGCGCCCCGGTGGAGAATCATTTGGTCCGGCCGCGCCTCAGCCACAGGAAAGTTTCCTCTCGCCCGCCCACGCAGCTTCGCCTCGCACGCACGCACGGCACGCACGAACACGAAACCGAAATCGATTTCCCGGTTGGGGGGCTCTCCGTTCCACTTCGATCTCACCCCCCAACCTCCGATAATGAATGGGAGGGTGGGGGATGACGAGTACACACATGGCTAATCAGGAGGAAAGATGAGGAGGAGTAGGATGAGGAAGGAGCTAGGGCTGCGTCAACCGACCCGTCGGCCCGCAACCAGCAGGCCACAATGAGGAGAGAGGTTGTGGAGGAGGCGGAGAGGGAGGAGGGAGGTGAGGTGGATGATGAGCAGCATTAGGACTAATCACTCGGAGGAGGCAGCCTGGAGACCCATACACGCCGCCTCGCGACGACCTGGTTGAAAACCGCTCTAATGCAGCCTGGGGGTTGAGGTTGAGGAGCCGAGGGAGGAGCGCAGGGACCTCCCAAACAGTGGTTGCATCTAGGGGTTTTCACTCCGGTCACCGGAGTTGCATCGGTCCGCCGAGGTTTCGCCATTTTGCAGCGCGTTGCCGCCTCGTTGCCGCCCACCGCGCTTGGGGGGTCCGCCGAGGTCCCGCCACGCTGCCGACCGTTGCCGCCACGTCGCCCACCCCGCTCGGGGGTTTCGCCCAGGTTTCGCCACGCTGCCGCCCACTGCCGCCTCGTTGCCGCCTGCCGCGCTTGGAGGTCCGTCGAGGCTGCACCACGTTGCCGCCACGCTGCCGCCCACCGCGCTTGGGTCAAGGGAGGCAAACAACCCAGACCTGACAATCGGCGTTCACTGAACAGCCTTGGGCGTTTACCGAACAGCCCTGCCCCGAGCGATCCCCTCCATGGGTGCATTTCTAAACGGATTCGCGGTCCGAGGTGCTTCTTACGAGGTTGGAGTTTCTGCTCTCTGTTCGGGGGTCCGTCGAGGTTTCGCCACGCTGCCGCATGCCGCCACGCTGCCGCCCACAGCGCTCGGGGGGTCGCCGAGGCTGCGCCCGCCGCGCTGTCGCCACGTTGTCGCCTCGCGGCCGCCCGCCGCGCTCGGGGGGCTCCGCTGGGGCTGCGCCACGCTGCCGCCCGCTACTGCCTCGCTGCCGCCTCGTGCGCTCAAGAGGGTCGATTCCGTTGCTTGAATGTGCCGCTGGATGGAAGTGCCGAGGTTTCGCCACGCTGCCGCCCGTGACCGCCATGTCGCCCACCGCGCTTTGGGGCTCCGCCGAGGTTTTGCCACTTTGCTGCCCGCAGCCGCCTCGTGTCCGCAGACCGCGCTTGGGGGGCACGCCCAGGTTTCGCCACCGTGCTGCCCATTGCCGCCTCGTTGCCGCCCGCCGCTCTTGGGTGGTCCGTCAAAGTTTCGCCACGTTGTCGCCCACCGCGCTTGGGGGGTCCGTCGAGGTCTCGCCACGTTGCCGCCACTGCCGCCAGTGCCGACTCGCTGCCGCCCACAACGCTCGAGGGGGCCCGCCTGGGTTTTGCCACGCTGCCGGCCACTGCCGCTTCGTGGCCGCCTCGTGCGCTGGATGGGAGTTCTGAGGGTTCGCCGCGTTGTCGCCTCTGGCCGCTCGTCGCCGCCCGTCCGTGCATGGTGTGGGCGTGACCGTATATCTACGGAGAAATAGGCATGACTCCAGGCCTCGTAGATGGGGTCGGAGTAGATGGGGTCGGAGGATCGCGCCGCATCCGATGTATCGTTGATGCGTCGGCGATGCGGCTCGATGTGGAGCCCAAGTTTCTCCACGCCGACGTCGCCGATGCATCGCCCATGTCGCCGGTGCATCGCCAATATATCGGCGATGCATCGCCAATGAATCGGACCCCATCTTTTCGGACCCCATCTAGGAAGCCTCGAATTTGTGTGTGCGTGTGTGTTGCAGATGTGGGCGTGTACGTATAGACGTAGGTATGAAGGTATAATCCGCCCGAATGGCGGTCTTATCCCGTTGCACGTAATAGTTCTCCACACCTCGCGTATCCCCACCAGCCCATGGAACTATTTGGCCCATGCGAATTGAATGGAAAAAAGGACGAAGCGACAAATCTAACGAAACAACGCGGGCAACCAGAGTGAACAGAGATCTTTGGGAGCAAGGGGGTGGCCATGGAGGGCCTCTTCGGGCCATCCCCGGGGCCCGCGTGGGGGGCGATGGAAGGAGGTGGACGAGGAGGAGGACGAGGAGGTGGAGAAAGACGACGACGACGGCGTCCACGACAACGAGGAAGAGATGGAGAAGGAGAAGGAAAACAATGAGGGCGCGGACGAGGAAGAGGGCAATGAGGGGAGGAGGAGGAGGAGGAGGAGGACAGCGATGACGAGAACAGGGACCTCAACACCGCCTCTTGGAGCCCTCTGAGGGGAAGTGTGGGTCCTCTTGGAGCTCTTTTGGGAGGTCCTGGGGCCCCTTTGGAGCCCTCTTGGGGTCCTCACAGAGCCTTGAAGGGCCTCTTGGGCCCACCCCCACTTGGGCCATCAAACTTCCTCTTGAGGCGTTCCTGGAACGCTCTTGGGCCGATCTTGGGCGCTCTTGGTGCCTTTCTCCAGGCATCTTGGGGCTTTCCTTGGAAAATCTTGAGGATTCTAAAGCGCATCGGAAGCGAAACAGCGAGAAGGAAACACTCATTGATTTGCAATCGGTGCTTCAAGGATTTGGGCCTCTTGGAGGGGTGCTGCGTCCTGCGGGGGCTCCGACAGCACTTGGAGCCGTGTTGCGGCCCTCGTCGGGCCTCTTGGAGGCATGCCCAATGCTATCCCGAGCCATTTGTTGCTCGCTTGAGCCACCTTGGAGGCCATCCTGGAGCATCGGAGGCCCTCTTGGAGCCGCACCAGGCGAAACGGGACCCCTTGCCACCTCGCGCTCCTCATGCAGAAACCTCAGGGGGAGGAGGCGGAGGGTACGCCTCCCCCAAGGGAAGAGGGCGTATGGAAGAGGAAGGATAGAAAATCGCCAGACCACGTTGGCCCCAGGGGGCTGGTGGGATTGGGCGGTTGCGCCGAGGAAGGCCCACGTTGCCGCCTCGTGCCGCCGCGGCGCGCTCGGCGGCGCCCCGCGTGCCGTGTGGGTTCGCCGAGGGTGTGCCACGCTGCCGCCCGTGCCAGGTCGTGGGCGCTCGCGAGCGCCGCGTGCGCTGAGCCTGCACCACAGGGCTTACAACACATAGCCTAAGTGGCATACCTTACGCCACAACATCGTCAGCTGCACTACATACTTTGCACCGCATGGTGTACACGGCATAGTCTCCCAATCCGGCTCACTACCACCCACGTTGCACGGCGTACATGCGCCACATTGCTTGCACCGCTTGGCTTTCACCTCCGTAGCTCACACCGCATAGTTTTCGCAATACAGCATACGCGACACAGCTTACACCGCATAGCCTTCACCTCTACACTCAACAGTGTAGTAACTCATCGAGTGGGGCCCAGGCTGGCTGACATCTTCATAATATTAACACTGACATTTATGCCAATACATCGAGTACGGATGCTAATATTCGAAAGAGCTTAGGGTCGTAAGAGTGTACATAATACTTAGAACGCTGATATTCATTCTAGCATGCTAACAGTTTTCATGATAATACGCACAGTGCGAATCATCGAAGTAGTAATGAACTTACTTCAAAAAACGCATACACATAACTTCGTAGCACTAAGTGCATTCATAAATACTAATGGATGTGCAGCAGCAGGAGGGATGGGCAAGGTGAGGGGGAGCGGGAGGAGCAAGAACGGGAGGAACGGGCAGCAGCAGAAGCAGGAGTGGCAGGAGAGGAGCGGGCGAGGAGCAGGCGAGGAGCAGGCGAGGAGCAGGATCCGGAGTTGGAGCATGAGCCCCAGCAGGATGTGCCTCACGGGGAGGTGCTGGAGGCGCAGGGGCAGCAGGAGGACGAGCGCGGACGGACGCCCCCTGGGCTCATCCGACGTCACGCCGAGGCAGGCATCAGCACCCTGCCCTCCGCCGGTAGACTCGTTCGATCCGTTTTTGGAGGGCGCGCGGCCCCATGAGGTCCCTTGCCCTCCCGCGGGGCCAGCCCTGCGCCCCAGATCCGCCTTCGACGGCCCGGGGGCCCGAGGACCGGCCCTGCCACAGAGGCCGAGATCTTGGAGGCAGGCCAGGAATGGTAGCAATCTGGTCGCTGGGGATGGGGGAGCACCGAGGCGTTACAGATCCGAAGTGCCCGCGCTCCAGTTGCCGCGCACTCTGCTTCGCCGCTGCGCGGCCTCCGCGGGGAACGCTCACTCAGCACATTCGGGAGCATGCTTGGGGCTCCGCGGTCCGCGGCTTCGTGGGTGACCGCGTGGGGGGTGGGGGGCCACTGGCGCGTTGCCGCGTGCCCCGCGCACGCCTGCGCGCGCACCTATCGGGCGGGCCCAAAGGGGCAGTCCTCGGGGGCGCCCCTTCGGCGCGTCACCCCGCCGCCTCTCGGCCGCTGTTGCGCCCAGGTCCCCGTGTCGGTGGACGAGAGCGTCTTCGACCAGGCCGGTGGCCAGCCCCCTTTGCGCCCACGCCGTCGATGTCGCCTCCTTGCTGAGGTCTTTTTGTTGCGGCCTGGACAGTCTTCGGGGGTCATCAACGGGCTTCCGAATTAGAAACAACTGCACAGACACGACGTTCATCGGTTTGCCCCGGACCTCCAAAAGTTAATGTTCACGCCATGTTTGTTGTTCCTCTAGTCTCTGGCGATCTTTGACGGTCGTCGGAGGTTCCCGCGAGGGTTCCTGGAGGTTTTCGAGGGTTTCCAGAGGCTCCCAGATGTCAGTCCCGTCGGACTTTGATTCAGCGCGGGGGGTGCTAAATTGATAGGGTGTTATAAGTGGATGCTAGGGTAGGTTGCTCCTTTCCTGACCTGGCTTACAAGTGGGTTTCACACTCCCCAAGCGGCTCAGGGCGTATTGCAGCTTCAGGTCAAATGGATTCCGTCCACTTAGCGGGGTTAAAACTCCCTTTGGCCACTTCAGCTTGTGCAACCCACTTCAAGGTCAGGTCAGACCAGGCACAACCCTTCTTGGCATCCCCTTATACCCCCTGTCCCCCAAGTGCCGCCCGCGCTGATCTACGTGGGGAGGGTGGGAGGAGAGGGGTGGTGACGGCAGCAGCAGGACTCGAGGATTGAGGATGCAGGTCGGCCATTCGGTGGCTCGCATCTGTGATCTCAGAAGTTTTTAGGCCTCTCCGAGTTCGCAGTTCGCGAGGCTGGCAAAACCTCGGGGCACAGGCTGGCATCTGCCAGGGTTGCCCCCTATCGCCGTTCTTGTTTGCCATTCTGATGACTGTCCTCCTCCAGGATGCGAAGGCTTCGCTCGGCGACGCCGCTGGTGACGTCAGCGACCTGGTGTACGCGGACGACACGCTGATCGTCGCCCCGGGCGCTGCGGAGGCGGAGTTGTACATGAAGGCCATCTCGGACGCGGGCGCCAACTACGGTCTGAAGTACACTTGGAAGAAGCTGGAGGTCATGGCCACAGGGTGCAACGCCGCTGCCATGCTCATGCCGGGCGGCTGCCCAATCCCAGAAAAGAAGAGCATGGTGTACTTGGGGAGCGTCCTGACGTCCGACGGGTCCGTCGGAGCAGAGCTGAGCCGGCGGGTTGGCCTCGCCCGATCCGTTTTTGATTCTTTGCAGCGCGTTTGGTCTCACTCTTCTCTGTCGACCAAGCGGAAGCTTACTATATACGCAGCATGTGTTGAATCGACGCTCCTATATAGTCTCCACGCGTCTTGGTTACGTCAGCACGAGTTATCGAGATTGACTGCGTTTCAGGCGCGGTGCCTGCGTAAAGTTTTAGGCATAGCGCATTCTTATGTCAGTCGCGTCTCCAACGCCGAGATCCTACAGCGAGCCCGGCGCACCAAGCTCAGCGACCTTCTGTTGCAGCGGCAATTGATTTTGTTCGGTGATATTGCGCGCAAATGCAACGACCACCCTGTCAGGCAAGTCGTTTTCCAACCTTCCTCCTCCAACTTGACGCAGCAGCCCGGCCGCCGGAAGAGGGGCAGACCCCGGCAGGCGTGGGCGTCAGAATTGTATAAGCATGCGCAGCGTATTTGTCGTGATGCCAGTTGCAGCGTAAGTAATTTGGGCACCTTTTTCAGCGGAAGCCTGGAAAGCAGCAGTGCGCAAGTATATTGTCTAGCGCATGATCGTGCCTTTGCTCATGTGCCTACGGACACGCGGCTTCATTCATTCATTCATTCAGGAGGTGGTTTAGAAGGGTGGAGGAGAAGTGGTTGCAAAAAAAGGGGATTGAGCTTCGAGACTCGGAAGTGTTGCGGACCTCGTCGCCGCGGCTCGATTTTCGTGATAGTTCTGGCCTGAACGGTTGCTGATGTCGGGGAAGAGGTTGAGGTAAGGATTCCTTCTCCTTTCCCGTCCTCTTCCGTCCTCCTCCACTGTCTACCTATATCTTCCTCTCTTCTGCACCCCCCCAATTCCCTCCTGCCTCCTCCTTGGTGTCCAGTGGTCAGGCGGACGTCCGAAATTGCTCTCGCTTCACGCCTTCACGCTGAGATTGGCCATGTTGTCTGTGGTTCCCCTCCCCCTCATCCTGTTCCTCCTGGTCCGAGGCTTCGCAGAGAGAGACCGGACCCAGGACGTGCCTTGCGTCCACACAGTGTGTCAGACGATGCGATGGTTGCTTTCATTGCGTGGCGGGACTTGCAGGCTCTATCTGGAGTGAGATCGTGCTGCTTGTCGCAAGGTAAATAGTCCCCTAGCAGTCCTTGTCCTCATCCCTGGCATCGCTCGGACGTGTGCGTTTTTCCTTCGGCGAGGACCATCGAGGAACATCCTTGACCATTTGGCGAAAAAACCACGCACGAAACCAACAAAAACACAGGGAATGGACGTCCGAGCGATGGCGAGCATCCGCGTCCTTCTTTCGTTCCTCCTCGTCTTCCTAACCAGATGGTGCACGTTTTACGTCGCGGCGCAGCAGGGGCAGTCCGCACGCGCGCGCGGGCGGTCCAGGAAGCGGTCGGCGCGAGTTCCCCGACGGCGAGGAAAGGGGGGAGAAAGGCGAAAGCGGCCGCGGGGCGGAAAGAAACTTGGCATCGCTCGGACGTGTGCATTTTTCCTTCGGCGAGGACCATCGAGGAGCATCCTTGATCATTTGGCGAACAAACCACGCACGAAACCCCCGAAAAACGCAGGAAATGGACGTCCGAGCGATGGCGAGGAAAGGGGGAGGGGGGAACGCACTCACATGGCGAGGTGCAGTGCCTTGGCGCGGCTGGTGCGGCCAGCCGGTGCTGCATCGCCTCGGCAGTGGGCGCGGGGCGGCCTCACGGCCACACCCAGGGGCGGACGCAGAGGCTGCAGCGCGCGGGGGGCAGGAGACATAGTGCGGGAGGAGGGCGCGTAAGCCGAAGACGTCCCAGTCCAGCGCGAGGTCCGATCGTGCAGGCAGCTGCGAGTGGCGGTGGCGGGATGTCGATGCCACGCCGGCGGGAGACCAGGAACGCGGCGAGGTGCACAGCCAAGGCGTCGAAGTAAGGACCACCTCGGGCTCAGGAGGGGCCTCTGCTTCTGGTGCCGTTCCACATTTCTGGGTCGTCGGGCCGACTCGCTCTCGGCCGAGGCTCGCCGTGGTCAGAAAAAACAAGGCCTCGCTCCTTAACCCAGCCTTAGTCGGCGAAGGGCAACGGCTGCATCTGTGCCCCCTTCCCTTTGTGGCGTCGCGCTGGTGGCCGCGCAGTCCCGGGCTTCGCTCCTCCTGCGCTTCCCCGTCTGCCTCCCCGACCTTTCGCTGCCTGTTCGTCGGACGAGCACCGAGCCGCGGGGCTCCGTTGCGCCTGACGCGCTCCCGCAGCAACGCAGAGATCGTGCGTGCACACTGCAGCAGCGCAGACCAGGCAGGCGCGACACCGGCAGCAGTGAAGGCAGAGGGAGAAGACAGCTGAGCAAGCAAGGGGACCCGCGACTGCACGGTCTGCTCCTGCTCCCCCCTCTCCCTCCGTCAGAAGGGGTGCGGACAGGGCAAAACGCGCCGGCACAGAACGATGTCCACGGCAGTTCTTCACGCTGGAGGTCTGGGGATCTCCCCGATGCAGTGCCTGGTTCAGGCGATCGCAAACATAGATTAAGGGGGCGTGGATTAGCGACGGGTCCGTTTCCATAGGAAATCGCTGATTGCCGCCGCCGAGCGAGGCGCCATCAGCCGCATTCTGGGGAGGGTCCCCCCCCGGTCCATGGATTTGGCGAACGCGCGCCAAATCCACGGATCGCTAATCCATGTTTGCGCGCCCCCGACTGGTGAGCTGGTTGCAGTCTGGGGGCTCGGCCCGGCGTGTCGGAGCCAGCGGCAGGGCGACGCGGGCGACTTCCTCTTCGTGATCGAGTCGGGCAAGTTCGACTGCGTCAAGGAGCGGCAGACGGCGGCGGGGGCGCGCCACCGCCTCTCGTCCCCTCTCGCAGCTCCAGCCTCTGGGGCGTTTTGTTCGCGCCTACGATGATGGGCCTGTTTCCACCACCGCCACCACCACCATCACCACCACCATAAGTTCGAAGGGGGAAGGAGGAGCACGAGGAGGAGGAGGAGGAGGAGGAGGAGGAGGAGGACGACGAGGAGGAGAAGGGGGAGGAGGAGGTGGAGGAGGACCCCGTCCCCCCCCAACTTATGATGGTGGTGGTGGAAAGCAGGCCCATCGCACGACTGTCCGAACTAGATCCGGGGCGCAGGTCTGCCCCCCAGTGTAGAGGTCCAGACCTTCCGCGGCGAGCGATTGGAAGAAGGGAGAAGGAGAGGGCCGTCTCAGAAGGCGGCGGGGCTTCTCAGAAGCCCTCGGGCCCTCTGAGAGGTGCTCTGCGTCTTCGGGGAAGGCTTAGAGCACTTGTCAGGAGGCTGGGGGACTGCCTAGCCTTCTGAGAAGGCTTTCTGTTCTCTCGAAGAAGAGAAGACGCCACAAACACAATTTTTGGCTCTCCGCGCGGGTCTCTTAGATCCGCGCTCGGCCCCCCCCGGCGGCGCCTCTGGCGCCGCCCTTGGCGCCAGGGAGGCGGGGCCCAGCGCAGCTCCAAGAAATCCGCGCGGAGCGCCAAAAGTTTATGTGTGTGCCGTTGTTTCTTCCTCCATTTTCACTTCCCCCCGGGCTCGCCGCCGAGACCTGTTGTGCCCCGCGGATTCGAACAGACTGCGCTGTCGGGCGTTACTTTAGTTCAGGGGAGGCCGGTGGCCTCCGCAGACTTGTGGTGGAGGGGCTTGCTGGGAACCTCGGGGGACCCCGGAGGTCTGGGGAGGAGGATCGGAGGAGCAGGAGCAGCAAGGGCCCAAACTAGTACTCTCCACGGGGAGGAGCACAGTCAACCCGCATAGTAAGGATGGACAACCTTCCCAAGGGTACTCTTGCATCCTTGCCTCCTCGGTCCATCCTTGGCCACTTTCGCTGGCCGCGCCCCGCTCGGAAAGCTTCGAAACGGGCGTCCAAAGGCGCTTGCACCACTACCGCATGCTTATGATAGGGCGCCACAGGCGAACCCTACCCCTACCCCCCACGATTTCTGAGGGGGAGGGCGGAGCTCCAGAGCGAAGTGAAGCCCACCCTCCCCCTCAGAAATCGTGGGGGGTAGGGGTAGGGTTCGCCTGTGGCGCCCTATCTGATACAGGCCGGCTAACTGTAACAAGCACAACTCGTTCGGATAATGAATCGCCGCCGGCAATCGGAGGCCTGGCCACCCCCTGCCCGACAGTGCCATGCCGTCAGGCGGGCGCCAGAACATCCCCAGCGAGATGGCCACGACCATGAATTAGTTATTCCCCAATTGGGCCTTGCAGGGTCTTGAAGAAATGGTGGGTGCGAAGCCTTCGCCGGCGTTCCCAGGAGTTGTTTGATCTTGTTTATACCGTAAGGGCTTCGCCCCTGCCGCCGGCCCCCTCTCTCGGAGAATGGGCCATGGAAGAGCTAAGTCATGAGGCCTTGGCGCTGTTGTGAAGCAGTATCGAAACTTCATGCGAAGCCGATTCGCAATCAGCAAAACCAACTGATCACAAGAGGGGTTACCACACCTGGCGATTGGTAAGACGTGTATGGTTTACGGGCTTGGTTACCACACCTTGCGATTAAAGGGCCGAGGGAGTTCTCGCAGTTTGGGTTACCACGCCTTGCGATGGATGTGCGTGAAGGGTGGCACCGAATTTCAGAAATGTGCCAAATCCCTTGTGTTTTTGGACCCTGACCGCGTCTGCGTAGGACCAAATCCCGTGTGTTTTTGGACCCTGACCCCGGATCTGCGTGAGGGGTGGCACCGAATTTCAGAAAAATCCCTGTGGCCCTGAATCTGCGTGAGGGGTGGCACCGAATTTCAGAAATGTGGCAAATTGTGTTTTTGGACCCTGACCCCGCGGATCTGCGTGAGGGGTGTTGATTTCGAGCCCCCCCAGCAATTCAGACAACGCGCCCAGGAGACGCTAAAAATCCCGTTTGGGCCTCCCCCCCCCTCGCGCGGTCAATCAACTAGTTACAGTAACCAGCAAGAAGTCAACTAGTTACAGTAACCAGCAAGAAGCAGAACTGTAACACTGGAAACTACAAACTACAACTGGTACAGGAAACTGCGAATCACGCGCCTCGCAGCCTGGTGGCCCCACAAGGGGGCTGGCGGATTTGGACTTGCTAGGTCTTGTTTCCTTGCTGTGGCGCTGCCTGAAGTCCTACCAGCCCTCTGGGCGTCGGTGGTCTAGAGAGTTTCCTCTTCCAACCCCCTTCTTCTCTTTCGGGGAGGGATTTACCCCTCCCCCGACCCCCTCCCCTGGACCTGGACGGGGGGTTCCGCGGGTCGTTGGGGCGTCCAAGTTGGCCCAAGACGGCTCCAAGAGCGAAAAGACGGGAAATCAAACAAGCATTGAGTTCCGTAGGTTTTGGACGGATTTTGGCCTCTTTTGGGTCCCAAGAGGCGATTCGAGGCATTCTAGAGGGGCAGCGCTAAGTTCCCCCCCCTTCTTTGATATATCTCCTCCAACATGGCCCCAAGAGCGCCCCGAAGGCTCCCCAGAGCGCCCCAAGAGCGCCCCAAGTTGGAGGGAGGGAGGGAGGGAGGGAGGGAGGGAGGAGGAGGAGGAGGGGGAGGAGGGGCAGGGGTAAGGGGAGGGGGCTTGGCTTGGCTTGGTTTGGCCCTGGAGGCAGTCGAAAGGAAAAATTAGCCACCCTCGTCCGAAGCCTCCTTTAAGTCGAGGTCCTCAGAGGTGGCCGAAGCTTGCTGGATCGCTTGCCGAACCATCGCGAGCACTCGTGGGCGGTCCTCGACCGTCAGCCCGAACGCTTTGAGCACTTCGTCCCGACCACCAACCCCCTCCCCCATCCCCGCCTTCAAGCCGAACGAGACAGGACAGAGTCGCTGGAGGGGGCTGCCGCTTGGTCAGCTTGCACTTGGATGCACTCTCTGACTGCTGGCCACCCCGCGTGGGCGGGAAAGCAGTAAGTGCTTCACCCCAGCTCTGTAGTGGGAGAGTTCTCCTTTGCAACTCTGTCGCAACTGGTCCTGGGCGCCTGTACCCGCACGGCCACAGCACCCTTCAGAAGTCTATGCCGTCAGCTTGTCGTCCGAGCTCATTGCCCCGCAACGGCAGCAAACAAAAACATATTATTATTCTCCTTCTCCTCCTCCTCCTCCTCGTCCTCCTCCTCCTCTTCCTCCTCCTCCTGAATCTTGGACGCCCTGGGGTCTCAGGGTTGGGTTTCTTGCGGGTCAGCTTCTTTCTGGACTGGCCTCCATTGCACCGCATGTCGGTCCAGGGGCTCGCCTCGCGTGGACGTTATCTGGCAGGGCGTCTCGAGCTTCTCAGGACCTGTGAGTGCACCCGTCGACAAGGTTTACCCAGGCAACGGCCCCGAACTCCACCCTCTTGTGTCAGAACCCTTTTCGTCGGCTCTCTTGGCTCGATGGGCTGGCTGCTCTCTCGCTCAGGCTTCTGAGCCGCTCCGAGTCGATCATGCGCCCAGGTCGGCCTGCCGGCACCGCGAAGCCCACTGCTGCCCCCCACTCAGCGTCCACCGGGTTGTGGTCCCAGGAGTGCTGGAGGTCAGCCGTGCCGACGGTGGCGTTCGGGTGACGGCCGTCGGGCCCGCTGAACCCCGCTGGTTGCCGCTGTTGCCAGGTGTTTCCTCGTGGCTGCCCCCAGCACCGCAGGCTCAGCTGCGGCGGCAGCCTTGAGGTTGTGAACAAATCACGACGTCGGGGGTCTGGGTCTGCTGCAGGTCTTGGATGATCTTGGCCTGTCCGTCTCCTCCTGTCGGTGGCCCCTCCGCCCACGCCCCCAATGGTGCCAGGTACCCCGTCCCCGTGGGCCCCTCAGCCGCCGCCGCCGCACAGGTTGCTGGACAACCTTAGGCTGGCGTTAAGTCGGGCCTGTCCCTCTACACCAGGAATATTTCAAAATAGTCGAAAACATAGTATGCGGACGATGTTTTGAATGTTTTATTCAAATTATGTTTGAACATGTTTTGAATATTTTTGATATTTCGCCCAAAATCGGCCTGTAGGGGAACATGCCCGACCAAAGACTAGCGCGCCGGCGCTGGACTGCACGGCACCGTACACGCGATGCCCAATTGCATCACAGAGGCGTCCTGGCGCCTGGAAGGACATCGAGCGGTGGCCCCATGCCCCGCAGGCTGTTGCGGGCGGGGCGGACGTGAAAGGAACAACGGGCTCGCAAGCACGAGCCGCTCTGAGGCACGCGCGTGCAAAATCAGCGCCGCAAAGGTGTGAGCCAGAGCGGCTTGGAGGGGGAGGGGGAGGAGGAGGAGGGCAAGCTAGGGGCGCTCGCGTCATATCTGACGTCCTATCCCTCCCTCCCATCCCTGACCATGGCGTAGATCTCCTGTCTACTCGCACAGTCGGATGACGTAGCATGACATATCATTACATGGCATAGCATGGTGTTGAAGATCAATGCGTAGCATGACAAAGCATGGCGTGTCGACGCCACAAAGTGGGTGGGGGGGCTTCTGCGGCCCTCAGAATCGACGAATCGACGCCGAACATGCAATACATTCCGATGTTTTTGTTGGGGGGGGGCATTTTCTGCATGTTGGGTCCTATTTGTCGGGGAAACGTAAGACTCGAGTATGCCGGAATTCGGGCTTGCTTTTTTTTGACGAGCGCGTCCTGGATTTTGACGGTCTCGTTTTCGTGGGATCTGCAGCGGGAGCCCGCGTCAAATTTCAGACTGGGTCTCGTCATTCTTATGATGGCCCCCGTCAGGCCAATCCGAGTCCCCCGTACCCGAGTCGTACGTCTCCCCGAATTTGGAAGGACCGAAAAACATGCCGTGGCATGGCACTGGAAAGTGGCATTGCACTGGAAATAATGACGCCAGCGCTGCAGCGGGAGCACGACTCGGAACGAGCGGAAGCGCGGAAATGAG